TTAAAAAAGATGCCTCTGGGTTCAATCCCCAGTACCCAAAATAGACAAACAAAAAACAACCAATCAAACAAAAAGACCCCAACAACAACAACAACAACAACAACAACAACAACAACAATAACAATCTTTGATTCCTTTAAGGAAGGAATCAAAGGAGTAATCTCATTATTATGCATCTGTTTTGGGATTTTATAATGTAAAACTATTACTAGTATTATCAATATTATTGTTTATTTTGCAGTGAAGGAGATAAACCTGCAGGATCTCAAGGAGGATTTGGAATTGGATCCAGAGGAGAACAGTACCCTTTTTATGGGTATCCTCATAAAGGGGCTGGCCAAACTGAAGAAGATACCAGAGACGGTGAAGGCTATCAAGGAGCGCTTAGAGCAGGAGTTAAAGCAAATTGTGAAGAGGTCTACCACCCAGGTGGCAGACAGTGGCTATCAGAGGGGAGAGAACCTCACTGTGGAGAACCAGCCAAGGTAGATGCAGGTGTCGCTTGTGTTTTTGATAACTCTTATTTATCATGTATTTTCTAGGGTTCAGCATAAGTAACTTATCTTGATGTTATCTTCTGAAACTTAGAATACTGTATCTCATACAAACATGGGTGAAACAGCTTGACTAGACATATTTTAGCTGTCTGTTTTTTACTGTGAGGAATTTTAAGTCATATTGTTCTTATTCACATACATTGAATGAAAGCTACAGACATATGTAACAAAAGTTTATATTCAAAGACATGGAGTGAATAAAGAAATTGAAAGAACATAGCTGGTATTAAACATGCACTAGAACTAAGCAGTTTTCAACGTGGTTTACGCATGTTATCTCATTTGATTCTCACTGTAATTCTGTGAACTAGTTATTACTATTCATATTTTATACTTAGGAGAACTGGGTCTCAGAGACTAAGTAATTAGCCTAAGTTTATAGCTCAAGAGGCTGGTCGTAGAGTCCAGTTACAAGTCCATTTGATTCTAAAGTCCTTGGTCTTCTGTTGCCTCAGACTTTCTTTTTTAACATGTGGTGATATTGGCCAATAGGCAGATCAAGTCTCAGGAATTTCTATAATTATGTAAAACAATAAGTAGAATTTGGATTTCATAACTTTTGTTTCCTAAAGAAAATGTGGCGATTATATTCTGATCCTAACTCTTTGACTATCATACACTGTGCAATCATGTTTGTCAAACC